TTAAGTTGCAATTAATATAAGAAAAGTAAATATTTTTTAAACAAGATTGATTTAATAACTGCTTAGCTTTGTACCTAAATATTTCGATATATCTTCAACTACACCTATATGTTCCCTCCAGGTTACATTTTCGCCTAGAAACACGTCTAAAAACTTTTTTGATTGCTCTCTTTTAATTAATTGATTAACAATAAAAATTTTAGTGGGATTGTCCTTACTATATCCAATGAGGTGTCCTCCTCTGAAACTAACACTTGGTTTAATATACATCTCATCAAAGAGAAAGCAGCAACGCTTTTCAGAACTTTTACAATTTTCAAAAACAACTTTGATTGTATTATTGCAATCTTTTTCATTTCCAACTTCTCCAACTGTTCCTTATTTTAAAATGAGAGTCTTTGGACTGGGCAAACACAACAGGTTTCTTAAATGTCGATAAAAACATCTGGAGGACAAATACCATTCAAGTGCACGACGTATACATAAAGTAGAAATCGCAGTCCATTTGGAGAATAAGTGGTGAGGCTTAGTTGTTCAATGAGGAAATTTCTTCTGAAGTGTCACTATATGTATTTTCAATTTGTTTAATCAAATTTAATACATCATCTTTTATTTCAGAACTAGAGAACAAATTCTTTTGACAATAGCTTCAAGTTGTGACCACCGAGTAAGACAATGAGAAAAACTGAACAGGTCTTAGCAGTTAACTTTTGTATGCCTACAATAAATATTAACTTGACGTGAATGACAGTTAATTTCAACAGAAAATATTGTTTCAGGTAGACATGATCAAGAAACATCAAATAATATGACTTTTGAATTTTCAATGAATTCAAAGTATTGAGGATATCTAAAATAGATTTAATAACAAGTAAACTTTAAATCAAAACAAACAAATATTATAAAAAAAAGAAAATAAAATTAATTTTACCTTTTTTTTATTTCAGACAACATTACATCAACATCATAAAATCTAATTAAATCAACTTGTTTGAAATCACCCATTACATCAGGTATTGCATTTGGTGTTAAAGAGATTTGATGTTAAAGAGATTTTATTTATATTTGTAGACCTTGGCGCACCATTGAAGATGTGCATCCAGGAAAAATAGATGGGGGATCAATAAGAACCTAAAAAAAAGATATTATTAAAATTAGTCATTGTAAAGCTTATCAATAAAAACAACTTTAATGATGCTTACCTCAAACTTTGATCGAGGAGGCTTGTGCATTTTGCAGCCTGGTGGCCAGTGTTTTTCACACACACCCATATTTGAAGTTACTTTTTCAAACGCATTTGGAATAGATGACAACCAATATTGTAATTTTTGTGTGGCACTTTAAAATATGTAAACATGAAGCTTTTCTTCTGAAGTTGACGTTAAATAATTTGTTGTACAATTAGCTATTGAACATTTTCTTGGCATGATTATAACTAATAATAGTAACACCATTATTATTTATTATAAATATGACATATTATTTTGTAACACTTAATAGATTCATTACTTAAAATAAATTACTTAAATCAAAAACTACTGCAATTTTCAAAAATTAAAAAATTCCAAATTTTTCAATAAAAATAGCAACTTTTTTTAAAAAAAAAAAGAGTTTTTTTTTGAAAAATGTTGTAAATATCTCCCGTATTTCTATTGCATAATCTATATTTTATCAGTACGATACTGATGAAAAATATATACATTATATTAGTAATATAAATTTATATCACTTTAATGTATTCTAAAATGTGAATATAATTAGATTAATGTAAGTTTTTCTTAACTTGTTTGTTAAATCAAACTAGCATCGCCATTTACAATCGGCCCTGTTGTCATTTTTTCATCGATTTGAAGTTTCGCGTCCCGTTATTTTAGTAGTCCCTGACAGTTTGAGTTTGCTAAGTTTACTTTGTTAACAATTATCGTCAAAAAAAATATTTTAAAAAGATATATTTACAAAATACATATTACTGAAAGCAAGCTTTAAGAAAAAAACTTTTTTAGTTTTTATGATAATCTCGCAAATTTTTTTTTGCGAGATTATCATAGAAACTAGTAACATTCATAAGGCGTTGTATAGACGTCATATGGACGTCTGTGCCCTCTGGGTTGAAACAAAATGATTATCAATGTTCTCAGCAAACTCACATTCAATTAAAATTAATGTTAATGCAAAATGATATTCCTTTTTGGTTGTTGATTACAGATAATTTTTGATCTTTAGTATTTTGAAACTTCTCTCATCATAAACAAATGTAAAAGGAAGAGTCAATTTGTTTTTGTAGAGTATAGACAAGTTAGGAAAACAAGATGCCATCTATTTCTCTGTTAAAGATGGATGTATACCATTTATTTATAGTTCAGTTGTCACTGCTGGAGATATTGATACATACACATATTTGAAAGAGGGCCGAAGCGACTAGATTTCAAGTGGGGAGGGAATGCCATACGTGTTTTTGCGAAAAACATTTTTAACTTATAAAAACTAATCTAAATTGCTCTACAATGTTGAAATCAGTTAATTTAAAACTTTTTATTCCCCTCCTTTATAAAATCCATTGAATGTGTACATTATGATTACGTTTCTGTTTTGGTTTTTGCCTCAATTTCGAGAAAATGTGTAAATGGTTTGTTGTTACATAGTTTTCTATTTCCATTTAAATAAATGCAGAGTTTTGTAATAAGAAATTTATATTTTTGGGGGCGCCAGTTGACTGACTTAGTGAGCCCCTACGCCATATGGTGAATCCACCACTGATTCCAGAGTTTGAGATATTGCTGTTTCAGCACTAAAAAAGTGCTTATTTAAAAATCTTCATAATCTGTGTAGTGTTACATGGAAACTAACAGTCAGATTTAAAAACTTTTGGCAGATTGCATAGATCTAACTGTTTTTTATGATTGGGCCAGGTTTTACTTTAAATACTCCTTTAGAAACTGAGATTTTTGACGGTGCGATGTACATATTTTCTTATATCCGCTATTTTAGGTGGTTCTTATGAAATAACCACCTATACTTTTATAAATCAATTTGTTTAATAAGATCTTTCATATGCTTAATTTTAATTAGTAGAACCTGTATATACTGTAAAAACCTGTATATACAGTAGAAAAACATTATTCTAAGATATACAGCACAATTAATTAATCTCAATTATTTTAAAAAGTGGAGATAGAACAAGATAATTCTAACGTCGCAAAATGTAAATTAATATGAGATATATGATAATGAGATAATAAATTAATATGAGAATATGCTTTAATTTTAGGTTAGTTTCAAGTTGTTAAAACTATGCCTAAAATTTGACAAATAAAAACTTTATAATAAGCAATTGTAGGTATGGCGAAGTTATTCAGAAATACCATAACCAATATAAAACCTTTTAGACAACAGCAAATTGTGGGAAATTGTTACTTTTTGGTTTCTCAAAAGTAGTTAAAGGGCTCAGCTAGCACACATACATTTAACCAAAGTATGTAAAACCATTGCGAACTTCGCTAATTTTTTCTGATGCAAATCCAACGCTGATCCAATGTCGTGTCTTTAGCAGTTATGTCACTGTAAATATTAACATTGACGTTACTAAAAACGTTGAACCAGTTTAAAATAAAACGTTGATCTAACGTAAAATATTAAACTTTGCCAATTTTATATATGTCGTTGGTTTTTTTGTTGTTGTTGGCGTCACGTTTGCAACTAAAATAGTATAAAAACGTTGGCGATCGATGTTGCACCAAAGCAATTGGTCTAACGTTTTACCAGCGCATGTGTACTAGCTGCGAGACGCAGCTATTGTCTTGCAAAACTTTACCAATATAATAGATATATAATAGATTGTGAGCAACTTAGTAAATAACTTCAATAAGATTTACTTTTTTCTAATATCAAAGACAAAATGAAGGACATAACTTGTTTTTTTTTTCTCTAAACTCCACTTGCTTGCTGTTTTTGAAATATTTTATTTTCTAAATTCTGATGCAAAATGATTTTAAAACTGTTTGCTTTTAATCGTATTAAAAATAATGCTGTAATGTTAAAATAAAAAATTAGACTTTAATTTATACTACATATAAAACATTTCAGTAAAAAGATCATTTAGTGGTGCTGCTTCATAGTTTAAATCTTCTTTTCCGCCGTAACAATAAATCTTTTTTTGTTTCATTTATTAGAAACTGCTTTCGTATTTTGTATTACAATGTATCGCCCTATTTTATCACTAATTTATGTTACATGCCTTATCCAAATCATTCTTTAGGGAGACGCGCATCCGCACTCTTTTCGCAGAAGTTTTTCTATTTTTTCAACTTCTGAATATATTGTGTTTTTTTCTTTTGATCATCCAGACAATGTTTGCTTTAGAATGCCATATTTCTTTGATATAGATACAGATGATTCTAGTGGCTAAAGTTCTATGTTGAATCACCTATTTTATAGATACTTTGTGGTGGTATAAAAAATTTTTTTAATGTTTGTTAATAGAACATTTTTTTAAGGAAGATTCTTCATCAATATACAGTTTAAAGCAAACTGTTTAAATACACTCAAAAAAATGAATTTTTCACTGTGCAATCACTTGAAAACGGTTGTCATTACTTTAAATTATTTTTCAAGCATTACCTTGAAATTAATATTCCGTTAAATTTTTATTATTTTGGAACATCAGAATGCGGATTAGATACCTGGTGGTAAAAAAGGGACTCATCTAACTCAGTCACTAAAGCAGATTCTAATGTCCAATACAAAACGCAAGATAAAAAAAATTTATTAAGTTACAAAAGAAAAAAATGTTTATAAATATTTGTTAGTAGTTCGTGTTTATATTTAACATCATATTAGAGAAAAAAATTCTCCAAAGTATTTTAGGAACATGCACAAATTGATCATATAAATGAGAAATAAATCTTATACCATGTTAAGTTTTATAATAAGCCTTTTATAATAAACTGTGGAACTATTCCTTTTTTTCTTTTAAATTATAAAAGGTAAGACAGTACTACTTGTTATTATAAAATAATTTTTTTTCATCATACTAATTAATATAAATTACAACTTTTTTTATTGTAGTATAGTTTAACTTTTAATTATTTACTTTATTATAATAAATATATGTTCCATCAATATGTCGTACCACAATTGTTATCTTATTAAATTATATATAAATTATATAAACCATATTTTAAATTAAAAGATTAATATAAAAAATCATACAAATTTACAATTGGTTTTACAAAAACTATTTTTCAAAAGAAAGAATGCAGATATAGAGATTATAATTTAAGCAAAACTACATTCAATGCAAATACATTCAAATACAAAAAAAAAAAAGAGAAAAGAAATCATTAAACAATTGATGGTTATCCTAGCTAAACAGTCCTTGACAAACTTTAAAAGTATGCTCTTAAGTTAATATTATTTAGGGTTCCTTTTGTCACAAATTACTTGTAACTTTTATAAAGTCTAATTTTTTATTTTAAAAATATTAATTTTATAAAACAAACACAATTATTTGATACAAAACCTTTAAAAAATTATAATTTCACTCAATATTTGCAATAAACTTTGTAACTATCTCAAGAACACATTCTGATCTTCGTTGAGCAACTTCAAGCACCTCTGCGTGGTTAGGAGCATTCTTAGTTTCATAGTCTAATATACAGTAGTTAGTGATAAGAGATAATCCAAGACATTTGATACCCATGTGTGCAGCAACAATAACTTCGGGTACAGTACTCATACCAACAGCATCACCACCAATCTAAATTTATGGCCGAAAAAAGAGACAAGTATAAGAATTTACATTAATTAAAGTTATACTTTTCCCATTAGTTATATTATTTTAAGAAAAAATTGTTGAAGAATCAAACTACGGATGAAACAGCAGAAAAAAAAGTTTTTTTTTTTTTTACTGTTTTATTCAATTATTATTCAATGTAATTAAATCTTAAAAAACATAAAACTGATACATCAGTGATTATCAACCACAGCCTTTTAAATATATGTAAGTATTTATAAATATTATATACAAGTACTTATATATAATACGTATAAGTATTAAATATAATAAGCATAAAATATATACAAGTACTTTTTATACTTATATATTTCATATATACAAATAATTTCCGATAAGTAAATAAGTGTTATTAATAATGAAGGAGGCATGAACTTCTTGGTTAAATGCTTTTCGGATATGCTTTGTGATAAGACCGTCAACTCTTTTTGGAGCACCTTAGTAACTACATTACATGGTTTCTATTACGCGTTAAAAAACGGACATAAATACCAAAAAAATACTTGGCAACAAATGTTCCCCCACTACTACCATCATCTTCAAAAAAAATTTTAATAAAGTTTTTATATGCAGATTCAAAGAAACAGTGCTGTGGCAAGTGGGTCTAGCCCCCCCCCCCCCAAATATGTCATTAGGGCCCCAATTTTGTATTATTTTTTTTTTAAAAGTGTTTTTAATACAGATAACTTTGAAATATCTGGCTACCTAACATATTTTAACGTCGCTGTTCATAAGACTAAAAACAATCAAATTAATACTTAAATTCAATTAGATATTTTTTATAACTGTTAAATTGATACAGAGTTTACTAGTCTAGAGTTTCTTTAACTAATGTAAATATATTATGCAGATAATACAAGTCGCAAATCATCAAAATAAGGGTTTGCGACATGTTTTCATGCTTGCAAACTCATTTATTATGCCTTCATAATTTAATTTTCTTGCAACCTCATTTTCAATCGACAGCATTGCTAAGGAAGACAAACGTTCTTCGACCATTGTTGACCTATTTAAAGATACAATGAAATATAGCTACATGTATTTATGTATAATTAAGCAAGATTATTTATAATAACCTATGAATTTTTTTAATTAGTTTTAACTTGCTGAAGCTGCGTTCTGCACTTGCAACAGTGACTGGTAAAGTGTTATGAATTACCAGTGACTGGTAATTCGTAACACAATAACTAGATTGGGATGAGTTTCTTGCAACTCTTCTTTGTAGATGTAGTTTAGGAAATCATGTGCAGATTTTAGAAAAGCATTTTTTTCCTCCTTTATAACAATGACAAATCGTTTTAACTCCATTTCTAAATCCTCAGAATCTATATCATTAAGCTTTAATTGCAAACTTTTGCAATATACAGACAGAGAATTTTCATTGCAACCTTTGATAAGACTCTCGAATCGGTAAAGAAAGTCAAAAAGCTTTGTGACAATGCTGATCTGTTCAAAACGCTCTGATGCAATTGACATATCAATTAGTGGCATGAAAAGAGTGTATATAACCTTGAAAGAACACCAAAAAAAGAAATTGTACTGATGGATGACAGTGCACCAACAATAACAAGATTGAGTGAATAGTTTGCACAAGGAACATATAAGGCCTTAGGATTCATTTCCAGAAACCTTGCTTGAACACCTTTTACTTTTCCTTTCATATTAGCACCATTATCATAAGATTGACCTCGACAGTCTAAAATATTTAAATCCCAATTTTTTGCCTGATTTAAAAATGCATCAAAAAGCCCCTTTCCAGTGGTTTCATTTACTGTGAGATATCCAAAGAAATTTTCGGAAATGTCGATACCTACTCCAGGAGTACATGTTACTGATCGCAGAATAATGCTCATTTGTTCTTTGTGCAAAACGTCTGGCGTACAATCTAAAATAATGGAATAGTACTTTGCCTTTTTTACCTTAGATAGGTTTTTGGATTCAATTTCCTTGGCTAAAGTCTAATCAACTCGTTATATGTGTCATTGCTCAAATAGTGCTCCTTGGTATCTTTGTCCTGAATTCTTTGCATAGGCTCATTGAGAATGATATCGTACTTAGCCAGTAATTCAAACAACTCAAGAAAGTTTCCATTGCTCTTTGAACCAATGGTTGTGTCTGAACCACGGAATGCAAGATTTCTTGCAGAAAGAAATAAGGTAATGTCAAGTATTCTTTTTAACACAACTCTCCAAAATGTCCGTTCTTTATGAAGCAATTTTTGTTGTTGCTTGTTTTTGGTAGCTTGATTTGCTATACCTGCATTACCAAAATTGAAAAAAAAGTTAAATGAGAATAAAAAAAGTAACAAAACAATAAATTAAAAGAAATATCAGTTAACCTTTTCGTAAAGTCATCTATTGTTCAAAGCACTTAAAATGTGCACTGCATGTTTCGTGTTCTTTAAGTTTTTTTGATAAGCCTTCCCAAGTGTTCATTCCTTGTTGGAATGGTGAATAAGTTATCCCAAAACATTTGCAACAAAAACAAAAACACTTTATTGCTATTCAAAGAATATATGAGCCATGTCCGTTCAAAGATTTCTCTATTCTTCATCTTGCGATTATAATAATTTATTGAGAACCGTCTTCTTTCTAAATTGTATGGAAAATCAATTTCAATCTTTTTGAAACCCCGTTTAACAATGTCACACCTCTGTGCGTCAGAAACATTATCTAGCCACTCAGAAGGATCATCATTGAGAAAAATAGGCGGAATTGTTATGCTATTTGATGTAGACTCGCTTATCAACTATATAACTCTACTCTAGTACTCAAATAATGACAATCAGAATTATTTGTAGTTTCTGTTGGTATCGAAACACTTCCAGACTAAACTGCTGGTTTCAAAAAACGTGTTAGTGTTAGGGTACTTTGTGATTTCTTCCCTGGCTGCAGCTTTTTCTCTTCTCTTAGTAGCACTACTTTTTACTTTTTTCATACCAATAATTATATATGAAAAACTAACGAAAGATATTTATAAATTTTTGCAAACCTTCTTTCATTGTTTTTTATAATATAAAAAAACTAACAACGCATAATACTAATTAAAAATTAATATGATTAAGACCTTATAATCATATGAACTTATAAACAAAAATAAACAAATGTAAAGCGTTACAGTTTCTTGATCCTTTACATTTATTTCTTTAAAAACAGTGCCTATGATTTAATTAAAACAAATAATATTTTATTTTATAGTATTAAAGCAAAAGTATATATATACATATAGCATATATACATATAGCATATATATATATATAGCATGTATATATATACAAAAGTATATATATACATATAGCATAATAAAAAAATAAATTATAACCAAGATAAATTATGAATTGCCGGAAGAAAAAAAAAGATTTATAGTTTATAAATAAATAATCTTAAAATCTGTAATCTAAATACAAACAATAATATATTCGCATATAATCATAAAATAAGCGAATTAGAGAAATATATATCTTCACACGATTGGCTGCTGTTTAATGGTTTTTCATTAAAGGTTTGACAGATTTTTATAAAGCTTGCATTTAATAATAAAATTTGGACCTCGGGAGTGTTCATTAACAGTCATTAACAGTCCCGAGTTGCTTTTAAAATACGGTCGCTATTAATCCAACTTTTTTTTTGAAGTGGTCTCTAAATGTCCAGTGTTTTTAAAATCATCGTATTTTTTTACTAATAAGATAAAAAAAATTTTTTTACTGTTATTAAACACTACAAAATGTTATTATTCAAGTTTAAGAATATATAAATCATACTACATAAACACAAAATTTTAAAAATGTGTTTACTAATATTCACTTTTTGTATGATAGTTGGAAAAGTATGGAGCTACTTTTCCAATTATCATACCACACACCTTCATTGAGGATAAACCTTTTGTTATCATTTTTAATAATCATTCACCAAATACATCTTTTCATTATTGATTCATCAAATATATAATTTTCTTTCTTTTCGTGAGTAAATATTTACTTTTTGATAACTATTTTTGCACTGAGATAACTTCCTTATTTGTATTTAAAATTAAAGTGAATTATTGAACAAAAGCTCTGTAACTATGTAGTAACAAATTTTGTGACAAGTAGACGAATAATTACTGATGAACAAAAAGGAAATACAAGGAGATGCATAAAACCGTAATAATACGGCATGCGCATTTGGGAACCACTTTTATTTTGCGTAATATTATGCCACGGACATTAAGAAACCACTTTAAGTTTGCGTAATATTACGGTTTGGACTGGTATCGAGTTAAACTTTTTTTTTTGCATAAAAAATATTATTGCTTTTATTACGCTTGCATAATTTAGGTAATATCGTGATTAAAAGGCCAAGTTTTTTATTAATAGTTAAAGTAAAAATATTTATTTCAATATTTTTATTATAAAAAATACAAAAAAAAAAATTTTAACTTTCAATAAGGGCCCCTAAAAATGCTAAGCCACCCCCAATGGCACCCCCAGGGAGCCTAGCCACGGCTCTGCAAAGAACCCACATATAACAAGTAGATTTATCAACCATATTTATATTTCATTTTGAAACACTTATTTTCGTTATTTAGGTTGTTTTTTTTAATTTATTTCATTTTGTTCTTTTATTTTCTCTAAAGGTCCAGACCACTAAAGCCAATGAAAATTAATTCTTTGTAATTTTATATATATATATATATATATATATATATATATATATATATATATATATATATATATATATATATATATATATATATATATATATATATATATATATATATATATATATATATATATATATATATATATATATATATATATATATATATATATATATATATATATATATATATATATATATATGACCTTTCACAATGGAATTTATTATTAAATATAACAAACACTTAATAATGAAATTAATTACTTAAAGAAAGAAATTAAAATTCATACTAACATTCTTATATCTATTTTTTTTTTCTTTTTTTTAGAATTTTTGGCCCCATTAGTTTAATATTTTTAATAAATTTTCATATATTTAAAATATTAAACTAATGGGAACAATAATGCTAAGAAAACTACACCTTTTTTTCTTCTTATTGTTCAATCCTTGCTCATGGAGTTGGACAAATAAAGTTGCTGTGCATAAAAATAAATTGACTTTTCAGAAAAACAAATTGAATGTGATACTTCCAGAAAGGTGGTGGGTAAATACCATACCCCTTACTTATGAAGTGACAACTCCATCACTACATCAGTACCAATTAAGTTGTATGGACCAGATGTATGGTTGCTATATTAACATAAAAAAACCAAATGTATGGTTGACATAAAAAACCAAATGTATGGTTGAAATTTAGTTTATTTAGTGTGCATAAAAATAAAACATCACTTTTTACTAAATATCTAGTTTAAAATTTTTAAAAATCATTTGCTTGTTATACAAATATTTCTGTTTAATGAGTTTGATTAAAAAGGCAACGTATAAATTTTTGGTTTTAAATATATTTTGATGTTAATATATATTTATATTTACAATATTTCGCTGACCTAGTTTAAAATTTAATTTAAATATCAAGTAAATCAAATTAAATATTATTAAAATAAAGTTTTTAAACAATTGAAAAAGTTGAATATTTTTATAGTAAAAACATATCTTTAAACTTTTCCCGAACATAAGTCAATTATTTAAACATGATGTATTCAATTATTTAAACATGATGTGTTCAATTATTTGATCATGATGTGTAAGAAAAGCATTTTTAATAAAGTCATCTTGAACCAAATAATTTGAGTTTGGAGACAAGTCAAAGCTTTAATAATTTTTAAAGAAGATTGTAAATTTTATTAATTCTTCATTTTTATTTACTTTATATTAAGTAAAGCTAAATTGTAAATTGTGAGAAAAGCATAAAATGAATGGAAAATTTCAAAATAGCATTTTATTCAAGTTTTCTAAAGGAGTTTCATATAACACATACCGTTTGTATAAATCTTAGTTCTGCTGGAGTCTCATAGCAAGGTCCACTAACCATGCAATAAACACCACTTTTTATAAAATCTCCATAGCCCAATTCTCCAGATATATCTAATGCTAATTTTTGATAATTATTATCATAAACTCCATTCATGGATGGGAAACGTGGACCAAATCTATAAAAAAATAAAAATAAAGTTCTAAAAAAATTAGTGAAAAACCTTTTAAAGGTTAAAGTATATGAAAATTTTAAAATTGATAACCATATTATATAAAAATAATTATATTATATTTAACAACATAAAAAAATGAAGTTTTTTACTAAGTAAGAAAAAAACGCATTTTAACTAATTTATATGACAATACTTTTTTTTTTAATAAGTTTTTTATAATATAATAATCATTTTTGAATTTTTTATGTGATTTTGCTTTATTTGGGTCTCAATATAATACAATATTCATATATACTTTTTTGATAACACAAGGAACTCGCAATACATTCCCCAAGGGTCTTGAGGAACCCTGAAAAAACATGTTTTGGGACACCCTAATATACATATTTATATACATATATATATATATATATATATATATATATATATATATATATATATATATATATATATATATATATATATATATATATATATATATATATATATATATATATCAATGGTGTACACTGGATTTTTAGATGTTTGAGTTTTGACACTTGCACGCATTTTGCAAACTCCAAACTTTTGTATGTTCATACTTATGTCAAATGAGAATGTTTTTCAAAAAGTTGTGGTGATTGGAGCTTGGGGACAAAAAAAACCCAATTTTCGGGCCCACCCAGCTCTTATTAAGCATGAACATACAAAAATTTGGAGTTTGCAAAATTCGTGCAAGTGTCAAAACTCAAACATCTAAAAATGTTACACTGTATATATATATATAGTGTAAACCACTGTGTATATATATATATATATATATATATATATATATATATATATATATATTTATTTATTTATTTATTTATATATATATATACATATATATATTTATATATATACAATTATATATATATATATATGTATGTATACTGCCACAAACTCATCACACATTTCTTGAACATTCTTGGTATGAAAACATTGAAGCCAATTGGCACTTTTAGGAAATCATTAATGCTATTGTAATCTGCTTTTTTATATAAAAATTTATTTTCCTGTTTTATTCATTGTTTTATTTTTAAGAACAAAATCAAAACACAATATCAAATGACCCCTGGATATGTTTCCTAAAACAAATTTACTATCAATGGCACTTATATTTGCTGACTGAGTAGTGAATATTAAATCTAAAATATTTAAAGCAGATTTATTTGTTGTTTGAAAATTTATTCGAACCAACTTGTTCCCAGGAAAATTAAAATCACCAACTATGATTAGATCTTTATAACCTTTTTGGTTAAAATATTCTTTAGGAATTTTAAATACATTTTCAATTACTATCATATCAATGAAGCCATAAGGTCTATAAATACATCCAATAAGATATTCATCATTGCCGAACTGGATAACAGCCCAGACATGCTCTATTTGACTCAATGTAAATCTGTTATTGTTAAGTTTATATAAAGTAATTTTGCTGTCAATATAAAAACATACACTCCACCTCAACAATGATCGCATCTATCTTTTTATACAAACAATAACCATACAGTTTGCAGAGAGAAGTAGGTTTAAACCATATTTTAGTAATGGTAATAATTTTAGGATTGTAAGTTGCTACCAGTTTAAATTCGTCAAACTTGTTGTCAATAGGTACATGCAACTTATTTTTTCAATACTACTCATAGATAACAGACAATTGACCTTACTGTCTAACTTTGATTGGTTTCTTTTTAAATTTTTGTATCTGATTTCCATGGATATTATACCAAAAGGGATCTGTATCCTTAAGGGCATTATTTACTTTATTTTGCTCTGTTCTGAGTATAAAATCCTGTTGCCACTCAACCTTGGTTAAATCTGGAAATATATAGATATATTTCCAGATTTAACCATTTTAAAACTTGGAAGCAGCTTTAATTTTTTTGATGAAATTAGTATTTTGTTTTGAAGATTCAATCAGCCAAGTAAACCAAAAATGGGCATGGCTTGTCAGAAATTTTACTTCTTAATTGTCTCACATTCTCAAAACTTATGTCTTGAACTCCAATTTCTGTAAATATTTCCAAGACTTTCGCTTTATTCTCAGCTACTTTATTATCTAAAGAAACTTTATCACATTCTGACACTCCATAAATAATGATCTCTCTTTTTACTTTCATTTAACTTATTTATAATTGAATTTATAACTAATAATAATATAATATAATTTTTAAGTGGATCACTTACTTTTTAGTTTGTTGTTCTGACTTTGGAACTTGAATCCAATCATTTATGCTCAATTGACTAAATAGCTTGTTTGTGCAATGTCATTTTTCAACTGATTTATTAATTCTCTAACATTTGCAAACGCTTCTTTTTTTTTTTTTTTTTTTTTTGTTCTGCTTTATAATATTTATTTGTTCAGAAAGTAATAAGAGAAACTGTGAAACTTTTCCACACCACTTGTGCAATATTTTAAAGCTGCTGAATGATTTCCTTGTCCAAAGGAAGACCAGTTTTCTTTAGCCAAAAATTGACAGTTCATTATTTGATGTAGGAGCGCCTCCTGGTTGAGAATTATTATTATTATATTTATTCTTCGCAAACAAATGTGGCTGTGATTTAAAACTTGCGATTATATAATAATCTATATAATACATATATAGGCCTTATTATAAAGCTGTTGGCATTTTACGTACAGCAATTTTATTTGTTAAGTTAATTTAGGTTACGCCAAAACCTTTTTTAATGTAAACATCTTTTGAAACAGTTTAATTATGAAGCAGTAGTTAATTGTTGTAAAAAACATTTTCACAGCAATTGTGAAACAAGAAAAGTAAGTTAAACAAAATTATTCCTACATTCCGTTTTTAAAAAAATATACATATATATATATATATATATATATATATATATATATATATATATATATATATATATATATATATATATATATATATATATATATATATATATATATATATAGGCTTGGTCAGGAGGCGGAAGCGATCGCTCTTGAATACTGACCACGGAAATTATATTTAGTTGCGAAAAACTGGCCAGGTTTTTTAGTCATTTTGAGAACATTTAAGTTTATTTATGAAACAAAAAATTTTTGTTTTACGGACAACATAAAAAACTTGAATGTTCTAAAAACATCATATTAGAATATTCGCGAACACTAAAAACCCGCCAAATTAACGAACAAACGAATTCTATTGGTTCAAAAAATACGCTGACTAAGCGAAATAAAGTTTTAGAGCATTCTATTGAAATGTTTTAGAAATTATATTATTTACGATTTGTTACGTTTTCAGATTTCTAGCATAAATCGTTTTAAGAATATATATTAATTGTTTACAATTGTTACAAAAATAAATGTTTTAAATATATATTAATTAAATTGTTAAAATTTTAAAAGTTTATTATAAATCATAGATTTTATTAGTACATTCTTATTTTTTATTTAAAAAGTATGTATTCTTTATGTAAATGTAGTTTTGTTGATCTGTTTTTTATCGTAATGTATTTTTTAAAGCAATTTTTATGATTTAAACAAAGACTTATAAAAATAATTGCGTTTTCAATAAAGTTATAATCATTAAAATTAATAAAACTAATCATGTAACAAACATATAAGAAGTTTCTGGTTACTAAACAGAAACAACGCATACAAAGTAACTCGCGGATCAACAAGCACCGCGCCTGAGGTCATAACAGAACACAATTAAATATAGCAAATAATTAGATATAAAGAAAAAGATATTGGTTTACTAACTCTAATTAATTTCGCTTCAGTTGCCATTCTTAAAAACTCGTTACACTTTTTTCTGCTTTAATTACTAATTAAAAAAGGCCACTCACTAAACATCATCAGCAATATTGTGAGGCAGTTTCACTTCCTCGTCATATTTTTAACCTTTTTAGTTGATTTTTTGATCTTGTTAATTTAATTTTAATTTTAAATTAATTTAATTTCTATAATAATTCAATGATTTAATTTTTTTATTTATTAATTAATTAATTATTTCATTTGTTTATCTTACTAAGAAGAATTGCTTCAAATATGTTAAACTTTTCAAACTACGCGAAACATAAAATAGGTATTAAAAAAATTAACTTTTTTATTTATAAAATAATTTAGCTTAAATAAAACTAAAATTTGTAAACTTTGTTTAATAAAGAATATTTGTTTCCTTTTTAAACAATCGTAAGATGTTACTTTACATAAAAATTATTGCTTAATTTTATTAAAAAAATTATAAAAGGGACGTTTCAAAAATATTTGTTCTAAACGTAATTTATTTAGCTTTAAGTTTTTTTGCGTTTAAAGATATTTTATTTGCATAATTTTTTTTTTGTAATTGTCTCTCATCGGTCCAATTAATCTTTTGCGCTTTTTCTTTTTTGCTTGTTAAAATGTTCTCAAAACAACTTAAAAATCTGGCCAGCTTTGTGTATATATATATATATATATATATATATATATATATATATATATATATATATATATATATATATATATATATATATATATATATATATATATATACATATATATATATATATATACATATTTATTTATTTATTTATACATACAAACATACACATATATATACCTTTCATCATTTAACCCTACTAATGGACTAATTCCAGCTAAACACGGAATTCCAATATGGTCCTTAATTACCATGATATCACCAACACTGAAACCTCTGTTAATACCACCTGCTGCATTTGTGACAATTAAAGTTTTAATCCCTAGCAAAGCCATAACTCTAACAGGTAAAGTGCACTAAATAAATAAAACATTATATTAGTATTGACTTTTACTTTGTTAATAAGCAATATAATTCACTAATTTAAAAACCTTATTAATTCCATGGCCTTCATAAAAATGAAATCTCCCTTGCAAGCATACTAAAATTTTCTCTTTTATTGTTCCAAAAACTAATTTTCCAGCATGACCCTTCACTAAATAATAATAAGCAAAATGAATATAAGTAATTAAGAAAAACTTCTTAAAGAAAAAACACACCCAGATAAACATCAATTGTTAAATACCTTTTGTCAACAAAAGCAAAAACAACAAGAGTAAAACAACAAAAAACAACTTTGTTACTTGGAGTACTGATTAATAATTACAAAAATTCTTAATTACAAAATTTATGAAAACATCTTTAAAATAAAATTTTATAATTAAAAATTTATTCAATAAAAATTATTACACCTGTGCTGACTGGAAATCCTGGAATGTCTTCATAGGAAAACTCTTCTTTGTTTTCAATATTATTTACTAAACCCCCAAGACCTGATCCACAAATAACCCCAATAGTTGGTCTTAATTGGGTTTTTGAAAGAAGAAAATCTGAAATGCTTTTAACATCTTCAAAATTGTGCCTGAAATTGATAAATATGATACAAGCAATTCAATTAAAAGTTTTAATATAGATGTAGAATATAAATTTGGTAAACAATATAATTCAAATTTTGTTATATACATTTTATTGATACTCTGAAACGAAATTTTGCATTACATGAAAAAACAAAGCAATTTAATTGTGAGTGTTAACTATTATATTTTTATTTATTACAGCAAACAAGACTTTTTGATATTGTTTATGAGATGCTTACTCCAAAAACATCACCTCTTAATTATTGTAAAAATCATGTAAAATAGTTAAAACTGTAACTATTTTACATTAAACAATTTTTCTTTATTAATGTTTCAAATCAATAACTGAAACTATTCATTAATAAACATTTTTCATTCCAAAGTACCTAAAAGTAACTGATTGTAAAAAGATTGACAGATCAAGAATGGACAAGGCATGCAGGCAATAATAACATTTTAGAGATCTTTTTTAGTACATTAATATTTAGGTCTTTTTTTAAACAAAAGTTATTTGTTGCTACAGATCAAAATATATATCTTGAACAATTTTAGAATAAATAGAATAACAATAAACATAATTAACAACAATATAAAAAATATATAAAAAAAAGAATAATGTTATATTTCAATAAAAATTAAGTGTTAATGAATATAAAAATGACTTTCAGGTTTATTTCTTAAAGTAGTCTAGTGTCAAACATCTGTGAGTCTAGTGTCAAACATCTGGTGTGAGGTTGGATGGGTGGTAGTCGTATGTTAGAAAGGGCATTTCGATTACAGCTGCAACAGTTATCGTGCTTACTTTGTATGCACAATATATTGGCTTAGTTAATACTTCTATCCTTAATTTTGACCAATCGCATCTTAAACAGGTCTTTTTTGAATGTCAAATATTTGGACCCTGTCTTTAAATGCATTGATGATCTTTATGATGAGTTCATCTGACCAACAGAATTTTGATTTAGGGTGGAGGAGAACTTTTAATTGAAAACATAAATTCTCGATGTTAGACATAATGGGATACTTGGTTCACTAAGCTGAACCAAGATCGGATGTCTGTTATTGAGGATGGTGTTAAAAGTTATCTAATGGCAACAATACATTTAGGCAATGGTATAACTCCATTTTCAGATATTTCAGAAACCTGCAAAGTCCACTATTCTTTTAACACATTGGAATTTTTGTAGATTTAAAATGATTCTTTATCAATAAGCTCAGAAAATTCAACTGTTCACCACCAATGTCATCTATGCATCTTTGTTTGCCACTAAAATTTGCTACAACTTCATCAAAATGCCTGTTGTAACCATTCCTGCTGGATACAAAAACCTTGAGTAGCTCGGATGTATTTCAAAGCGCCCAAAAAGTGTAATGAAGGTGGTATGATTCCTATCTTCAATGTGTATCGGAACACTATGATAACCATTCCATGCATCAGTTACAGTTTTCCATTTCCAATAACTCCTAGATATTCATCACAAAATAAATCCTTTTCTATCTGGTCTTGTCAATGAATTAGTATGGTGGCTGGAGTAAATGCTGCAACTAGTTTGACATTTTCTTGGATTAAAATACTACTACTGGATGCCACGTGATATCAGGTAAAATCTGGTGTGGACATGTTTTGAATGTTAAGGCAGAGTTTTGAGAATGTTAAGGCGTCTTTCAAGAAGCCAAACTTTCATCTGTTTGTTGTTTTCAGAAGAACAATCAAATGAAAGTTTGGTGCATCTGTTGAGTGACTTCTTTTGGGACAATTGCAAACATGTATGATATTATTTTCATTGGATGTTTTGGTCTCTTTAGTCTAGGGGCCTGATTTAATAGCTCCATGGAAAGCACTGCCTATTTCTGGAAAATCTTGTTACCAAATTGGGTCATTGCTTCTTTAGATAAGTAGAATCTGTTTGCATCTGGACTTGACAGAAAAAAACACATACTTTCAGATGGAGTTTAAATTTAAGATAAAAAATAGTCGTTGAACTTGTTGAACTGTCTTGCTGAGTAAGAGCTTGTCATCAAAATTAAGCAATGACAAAGCACTTCATTAGCAAGATCCTAAAGCTCTTCACTTCATGAAGAGCTTTAGGATCTAGCTGCGTTAAAACACTTCATCAAAAGTATCTTTCACAATCAAAAGTAAACTTTTCTGGGCAAGATTAGGCTAGAGAATTGTTCAGAACATTTCAAAGAGCTGTGCAGCTATAAGTGAAGAACAGCTTGTTTTTTATGTGTTTTTTTCAACAACCTGCACAACCTAATCAAAAACGCTGTTCTTCTAATATAATGAAATATGATATAAAATATTAGCAAAACTATGATATGATAATATCAGCAAAAACCCTGGCTCAAAGAAAATAATTTACAGAAAGGCAGCCCTTGGAATTAGGGTCGGCACTCTGCCTACCTAACTGCTGACCTTAAAGTGTTTGAGGTTGGCAAAAGTTTACCAACCTCGCTTGTATGTTTTATGGTAACCCTTTTGTGTCAAATTTGTTTTGCCGACCTCTAACAATTTAAGGTTGGCAATTTATTGCTGACCTCACTTTTCCTATTTCTGAGGGTTGGGAAGGCCACAAGAAATTCCAGATATCATTATAAAGATTGAAATATTTTTGCAATTTGTTAGGAATTTTTGTATTTTATTGTATTTGGATTTGGATTTTAAACTTTATTTTAAAAATCTAGTTTTAGGATTTGAAACATACTTCTTTTAATTTCATAAACATGAATTGCAATGTTTTATTGTTTAAATTAGGTTTTTTTGTTGGGTGATTTAACTACACTATACTTTGATTTAAAAAACTAATTAGTGTTGGAAGTTACTGGAAGAGAAAAGATGAAGATTGTAGAGCAAGATAACGATTGACAGATGATTTAAAAGATTGCAAATTATATGAATCAGGAAAGCAAGATAAAGGAAACGAATTCCAAAGAACTGATGTTTGAGGAAAAAAACTAGACAAATAAGAGTTTTTGGAGCACTTAGGAACAGTAACAGAAAAAGGATGAGACTTAATTGAATGACGAGTAACACAAGTATGAATTTTAGTAGATGGCACAAGAGACGCTGGCTCTTTAGAGCAGTGCTCATTATAGTATTTGTAGAAAAGAGAAAGAGAAGCAACATTACGACGATGTGACAGAGGTTGAAGGTTGGCTCCAAGAGCAGGTCCAACTATGTTTACAATGCGTTTTTGCACCTTGTCTAAAAGAGAAAGGGCATCATTAGAAGATCCGCCCCAGATATGACAACAGTATTCCATACAAAGCCGGATTTAAGATTTATAGAGATAGAGAATAGAATCCAGAGTAAGAAAATGACAAGCTCGATAAAAAGAAGCAACTTTAGCAGATGCTAATTTTGAAACAGATTTGATATAAGGTTTCCAAGAAAGATCAGAAGTAAGAGTTAATCCTAGAAGATGAAGGGTAGGAGACTCATCGAGTACATTACCGTTCATAAATATAGGAAGGTCTAAATTATTGCAATAACGATTGGCCAATTAAAGTGCAATACTTTATAAAAATCTTTATCTTTGACATCTAACCAAGTTGAATTAAGTTACATTAATGGAATTTCATATATACTACACTTTTTTGTTGAGAAAAAGTTTAGAAACTGAAAAACCTATTTTTTATAATTACACAATTGAGTTTAAAAAAAATTCTCAAGGATAGAGTAGATTGATGTCTCCTTTCATTTTGTATGTATTTCACCTCATAATATATAATTAAAATACTGAGCATGGTTACATTTCAATTATGTTGTTCAGCTGTGCTATTGTGCACGAAAAAAATTATTTATGAATAAAATTATTTGTAAAAATTTGAAGTAAAATTATTTTTTTTGTGTACAATAGCGCAACTGAATAATACAATGCTTCTAAACTTAGCAACAACAAAAAAAAATTATGAAAAAAAATCTTTCGTTTATTAAGATTTACTTTTTTTGATGTAAAAGTGTACATTATTCAAAAAATCTGTATATTTGATATTATATCTGTTCAAGTTCACTAAACTTTTAAGGAATAAAATGTATTGAGTACCAATTTCAATGGAGTTAAATTTATTAGTTTATTTATATACTTTTGTTTTATTATTGTTCCTAACCTTTTTTTAAAGAAAACTTTAAAACTCCTAAGAATTGATTTTTATTTGGCACTCTATTAAGCAACTACTATGAATGCTTGAAGACAGAAATGTCACAAAATAACACACACACACACACACACACACACACACACACACACACACACACACACACACACACACACAAAAGACTTAGTTGCATTTGCACAAATGTTGTGCATGAACAACCAATGCAGTTTTTAGATTAGTAGAGTTATTCTAAAAACTTAATGTATAAAAACTCTGCTACTTTACCACTATTATGATTTCATTTAAGCATGTTTAAGCTGCATGTGTATATCAGTGTGCATCAATTATTAAACCCTGGAACTTCCCATCAATAGTTGAACAAAAAAGAAAATATTTGCCTAACTTATTTAAAAAATATTTTAATAATAACACTGCCTGGCTTATTTGTATTTATTTTGACAAGGTAAGAAGATCTGATTAGAATAAAATTTCCATCAAAAGCAAATTTTTGAAGGCAGAAAATATAGAAACTCAGCCCCAAGTTTAGTATTAAAACAAGTTTGCAAGTTGTATACTCTAAATGAATGTTTCAAATTAACCAACTCAAGAATTCTATTTTTTTAATTCAGTTTCCCTCTAGTTATTAGCCAAGATGAAGAAGTTACTAATTTTTAAATATAATATCTAATAGTTATAAACATTAAACGTATTTTACGATTATCGTTAAGAAAAAATTATTACTACAGTTTTATAATTACAGTTTTTTGATTAATAATCACACAAAAAATGTATAAATAAAAACGCTACTAACCCTTTACTTTCTCCAGCCATTTTTTATTAAATGTATAACTAAATAAAATTATTTTAATATTTACTATTCAAAACATATACTAAATAAATTATTATAGCTACATATACTAAACAGATTAAAATCGAATAAAACAAGATCAGGATTAACTTTCGTTTATAAATAGCATAATAATTACAGTAAAAACGTAATAGTTATCCTCTGAAAAAGTGTTGAGTTTAATAATTAAAATAATTATTAGTCAATAAATTTGGTTAATACAATTAACCAATTGATGGTTGATTTAAATAACGACAAAATAAAATTGATTAGAAAAAGAAAAAGTAAAAACTACAAGATATTTGTTTTTAAAAAGTGATTTAAAAAACATTTAAATGAAACCAACGCCCAATTAGGGCCGGCATGAGTAGGTATCACGTGAAGAAGGGAGGGGGGGAGGGGGTGCCATTACAATAATTTTTGCCGAATAAGAAAATGAAAGAAAAAAAAAAGCCTCGTTTTATGAAATTTGCCAACTAGTTTAGTCGATGACATTTGTCGACTGACAAAGGTCGATTTGTCTCAAAGGGTCGAATTAGCCAACTAAACAAACGAAAAATGGATGGGGAGGGGGGGGGGAAGAGGAAGAGGAGGATAACCCCCCTTCGCTCTAGCCTTACACCCAATCATTTTTTTTTTAATTTTGCTATTTATATAAACTATAATTCCCTTTCACACAAAATAAAACCGAATTATAAACAGACAGAGGCTAAAAGAATGGATGGCAAAATACCAACCTAATCTTTTCATAGACCCCTACAGATCATAACAATAATAGTAAAATATGTTCTATAAATCAAGAATAAATCAAGTTTATAGTAGGGTGTTTTCCTTGCTCGCTGTATGTAGATTTTGTATGTTAATTTTACGGCTGCAACTATAATAATAATAATTTTAAAAAAGTACAAAACTTAGCAACAATTAAAAACAACATTGCAATCGAAAGAGCACACAGGACTGGGAAGAAGCACGTACCTGGAAAAAGAAGAAGAACTATCGTGGTAAAGTTTCTTAACTATAAAGATAGAGAAATCGTATTAAATAAGTGTAAAAAAAGAAAGCTATGGAACAAAAAAATATATCTAAACGAAGAGTATAGCAATCGCACAATCGAAAAAAGACGATTTCTATTTACAAAAGCAAAAGAACTTCAAACTGAGGGTAAGTTTGCTAAAGTTAAATATACCAAATTTGTAATGCGCGCCTCAGAAGTATAAGAAATTCTTTTAAATCTTATTTAGCACACAAAAAATGATAACAACAAAAAATATATAATGGATGACTATGTATCACTTATTATCAACTTTAGAAACAAATACATTGGATCTGATGAAAACACAGATCCAGATATTAATTATTTTAATGACTTAAAAATATATTGTTTTTATCATTAAGCTAGTGAGTTTAAAAAATTTCTTTCTAAAAATGGCGGTGAAAACAAAAAAATTAGAATTGTCCACATAAATATAAGGAGTATGAAGAAAAATTTTGAAAATCTTTGACATTTTATAGAAGAAACTAAAAACTATTTTGATATTATTTTCTTAACGGAAACTTGGTATTCACAAAATAAGCTTAATAATAACTCCAATTTCCATCTTCCTAATCTTGAAACAATTTTATTAGAAAGACAATTAAATAAACGCGGTGAAGGAATTCCGATTTACGTAAAACAAAACATTGTGCATAACGTTAGGAATGATTTGTGCGTTTCTGATGGCGATAAAGAAATCGTTACAATTGAAAGTTAAAAAGCAAAAGCATTGTTCTTATAGACCACCTAGTGGTGCGTCAGAAAATTTAAGCTTATACTTAAAGCACAACATTTTTCATAAAGGTAACTAAGAAAAGAAAAAAACTTTGTAATTGGCGATTTAAATATGGATTGCTTACGATATAGCGAAAACAAAAAAATTAAAAAATTTTATGATGAAATATTTGTATCAAGAGCAATACCGCTTATCAACCGGCCTACTCGAATAACAGAAAACTCACCACCCTTATAGACAATATTTTAACAACAGATGTATATGACAACGACATACAAAAAGGCATTATAAAATCAGATATATCGGACCATTTCCCCATTTTTCTAACAATTAACACAAATTCAACTCCTAACATTAATTAAAGTAAAACTACGAGAAAACGTATTTTCAACAAAAAAAAAATTTAGAAGCATTTAAATATCAATTATCATTGTTAAACTGGAAGCATATAAATGTTAATGAAGACATAAATGTAATCTATCATAAATTCTTTAATGCATTCTTATCGGTGTACGATGCAAATTTTCCCGTTTCCGAAATAAACTTAAAACCAAAAGTAAAACCTTAAGTAAAACCTTAAGTAGTCCTTGGATTACCAAGGGTCTTAAAAAATCTTCAAAAATTAAAGAAAAATTGTATATAAAGTATTTAAAAATCAAAATCTCATGCCAATTTACGCATATATAAAAACTAAAAAACTTTATTTAAAAAAAAATCTAAAAAACCTAAAATAAATTATTACTCTAATCTAATCAATAAATATAAAAATGACTCGAATATGGAAAATATTGAAAGAAATAACGGGGAAACAGAAAACCTGCTCAAATTTCCTTCCGAAAATGTTTAAAATAAACAATGTATGTGTATATGAACCAAATGAAATAACGAAAGAATTTAATAAATATTTTACTGATATCGGAAGTAGGTTGGCTGACAGGATTCCATCAACAAATATTTATTTTAATGATTTTTTGACAAATTCAAATAATTTATTTTCTCCCCATGACTTATTCCTAGACTTATCGATTAAAGAGTTTGAAAAAGCCTTCAAATTTTTAAAAAGAAACAAAGGAATCGGTGCGGATGGAATTAATGGGAGCATTATTATAGATTGCTATGAAAGTTTGAAAAATATTCTATTTAAAATTTTCCAAACATCTATACAACAAGAGGTTTTCCCTGATCTATTAAAAATTGCCAAAGTTATCCCGATTTATAAAGAAGGAGAAAAATCAAACGTAAATAATTATCGCCCTATTTCTATCCTTCCTACGTTTTCAAAAGTATTAGAAAAATCTTCGAAAAAACATACAACTAACTGGTTTCAAATAATTTACTATATAAAAATCAATTCGGCTTTAAAAAAAATAGTTCAACTGAACGAGCCATTATTTAGTTTACACGTAAAGTCTCAAATTCTTTTGCTAAATAACAATATACACTTGGTGTTTTTGTCGATTTATCAAAGGCTTTTGATACAGTCAATCATGATATCTTACTTAAAAAACTTGAGTTCTACGGAATAACTGGTAAAATGATCAAATGGTATAAAAGCTACTTGTCAAATAGAAAGCAATTCGTCTACCACGGAGAAGAATTGCTTCCTATTGATCTTCAAAATAAAATATTAATTTAAATAAAATGTGGTGTTCCTTAGGGTTCTATCTTTGGCCCACTTCTCTTTTTATTATACGTCAACGATCTAAATAAGACCTCGAATCTTATGAGCATCACGCGTGCCAACGATACCTACGACGATAATTTATTTTTATCAAACAAAGACATTAACAAACTTTTTTTAGATATGAATAAAGAACTTAATCAAGTTTCTAATTGGTTTAAATGCAATAAATTAACCTTAAATATTGACAAAACAAACTTGATCCTTTTCCATTCCTCAACAAAAAAACGTTTTTTGCCTTTTGATTAACCTAAACTTTATATCGATGAAGTAGAAATAAAAAAAGATTCCGTTTTAAAATTCCTAAGTATTTATCTTGACGAAAATATGACATGGAAAGCTCATATTGATTATATATCAACAAAAGTTGCGAAAAGTATTGGTATCCTCTACAAGGCCAGAAATTGTCCAAATAAAAATAATTTTAAACAACTATACTACTCATTTATACATAGCTATATAAACTATGCAAATATTGCCTGGGGAAGTACAGGTAAAAATAAGTTGCAACGTCTTTACCGTCATCAGAAACATGCAATGCGAATAATATATTTTTTAAATCGTTTTTCAAATACAAAACCTCTATTTAAAGATATGAATGTATTAAACGTTTATAAACTTAACTTGTACAATATTTTATGTTTTACGTTTTGCTGTATGAATAAGCCTTTATTTCATTTTTTTAAAGATCTATTTACCTTAAAAGTAAAGAATATATATAGTTTGCGAAATAATAACTATTTAAAAGAACCCTCTTGTCAAACAAAGTTTAATCAAGTTTGTATAGATTATCGAGCACCTTATATCTGGAATAAAATTTTACAGCCTAATTTAGATTCATCTATTTCTTTTTCTGTTTTTAAAAACAAGTTAAAGAACATTATTTTTTTTACGGATAATATATTAAAATATTTTTGAGATATTATTTTAACCATTTCTTATTTCAAATGTTATGGAATTTTATTGTTATAAACTACCTGTATTATTTATATTGTAATTTTTATACGGTTCTGGTGACACGATCGATATGGTCTTCTTCCAGATTCCAAGTTTATATGTTTATATTACATGTAAATCACGACATGTAAATAATGTAAACTAAAAAAGAAAAAAAAAAAAAATCATTAAAGTTTAGTGTGGTCCCCCCGGTTTTTTTTTGTATATAATTCTAGGGATAGGAGTTAAGGTTAGATTTAGTCTAACTAAAAATACTTAACCAAACTTTTAGTCTAACTAAAATTACCCAGCGGGCACAGACGTTAATCAAACGTCTTACGGACGTCTTAACTAGGTCCCGACGTCTCAGACCAAATTAGGACGTCCTAAAGACGTCCGGTAAAGACGTCTTTGTTAGGACGACCTTGTGACGTTAATATAAAGACGATATTAGGACTTCCATATTTAGACGAAATATTGACGTCGCTAAGACCTACATTAGACGTCCGAATTACCTTAGAAATAAATATAAAAATTAATAATTATCAACTTGGCGCATACAATATTATGCGCCAACTCGGTTAATTAAATATGTCTACTTGTTTTGGTTGATTATTTTGAGATTATTAATTTTGTTTAGTTATTTATCGTTTAAAGATATTTTTTTTTAATTTCCTATATTCTATACTCTATGATCTATAAACTATAATCAATACAATATTTAAAGA